GGCATCGGGTGGGTGGCTCTGTGCCGTGCCAGGTGCAGGGTCTGCTAGCTGGGTGCTGGCAGGCTTGCACCTGGCACGGGCACCGTAGCCAGCCCGTGCCCCTTTAAGGGGTCCGGGGCCGGGAGGGGGGCATAGAGTTTCCCTGGTGTTGGCCAGAGTGGCCACCAGGGAAACCTGGGGAGGGCTAGCCTCCCACTAGTTCGAATTAAGGGGCTACACACCCCTTAATTCGAACTAGTAAGTTCGAACTAGGCTTAATCCTCGTAAAATGAGGTTTTCCTAGTTCGAACTAAGCGCTCCGCTAGTTCGATTCAAATTCGAACTAGCGGAGCGCTAGTGTAGCAGCTATGAATGTTAGTTCGAACTAACATCCGTTAGTTCGAACTAACAGTGTAGTGTAGACATACCCTCAGAGAGTCAAAGATCCCATGGCTTCCAGCTTTCCTGCTCTGGAGCTAGGAGCCTGGAGGCCCTGGACATCACAGCTCAGCAGGGAGTCTTGGAACTTGAGCTCCTAGGCTCAATTTTGGTTTGCCCAGCCTTAAACAAGCTGTTTCCATTATTTTGTAATGAAATCTTTTTCGATTTTCCTTTTTGAGAGAATCTGTAATTTCTTTGTTTTATTCCAAAATTATTGAGAATTTCCAAGGAGCAAAAATTCTGACTTTTGATCTGCCTGACATCTAACCCAGTAAGAACAAATTGAGTTTGAGTGTGTCTGTAACAGGGTCCCTGCCTACACACTGAGTACAATAGCTCTGGCAACTCCTGCCTCAGCTTCCCCTTTTCAAAAGTCCCTAAAAAACTCCATAGCCAGGTTTGGCTATTATGGTGACTTGGCCTTCCATGTAAATCATTTAATAAAATGTCCACAATCTCTGGGTGTTTCAGTTCAAATAGACAAACATAAAAAAATCCAGAGTCTACACCCCAGCTGCATTCTAACCCCAGCAATTCCATCCTGGTCTCTCTTTCACCCAGACTCTCTTCACAAAACCCTGTGGCTTAATTTTTAGTCTTTTCCAGGCTCTTTTCAGTCTTTTTGGCTCCTTTGCAATGCTCCCTTCTCCTTTGCTCAGCAACAATTCCCAAGGCTTCCTTCTTTCTCCACCCCTAGAGGGAAAAGCCTTGCTGCCTCTCTGTAGGCCCTCATATCATTCTTAAGAGGCCTATTTAAACCACTAACTGCAAATCATGTGACTTTGCTGTTTTTCACCACCTACAGAGGCTAGTTAATTGTTTCACAGGCGAGATGGAGGCCTCTGGAAAACAGGGCCAGTATTCAGCATCGTTGCTCTATGCTCAGAACCACAGACAAAGGGATTGACACTGTATTGTTTTGTATGGCTGAACAATTGTTTCCTCATTCTCCCCCTTCCCTGCCACCCCAGTGGGCCAAACTCAACCTGGCTGGGACTGAAGCTCAGTTCTGTGTGCTCCAAAGCGGAAGTATCAAGAAGCAGCTCGTTTAAAACTTTTGAAGAACAAGAGAAAGATGTTCTGAATCTTAACTTCTGCTTTCCATTGTGCCCATAAACCCAGTGATACCTCTCTGTATTTTAGCTGTTCTTGCTGTGGTCCTGAGGGTCCCCTGTCACACCCAGTCGGTGCCAAATGAAGATAATGAGGAGAAACAAAAAAGAGATTCAGGAGGACATGTTCTCCAGTATCTCACAAAGCACTGCAGCATCTGACCATGAACAGAGAGGTTGGAGGGTGAATATTTCAGTCAATCCAAATGGGGCAAGAGCAAACAGGAGAAAGACCAGGGGGCATAGGAGTGGGAGATGCACCAGGATGCAATGGGGCTTCTCCAACAGCAAACACATATGTTGCAGACTGTGTTTGACCTACAAATCAAAAAGCACAAGATTGCCTCTCCTTGTCAGTAGAGAACTCCATTTTAGCACCTCCCTGCATCCCACAATATTCGGTGTAGCATCAAAGGCCATATTCCTACCCCTACCACTCCACAACTGGGGATGGGAAGGACAATCACAGCTTCACATATATTGACCTGTGAGAGCCACGTTTGGTATTTGTGTGTAATCAAAATGTACATGATTGTCCTTTCCCCTTTTTAAGTTCTGTTCCATTCATTTATTTATTTCAGAAGTTTCTATTGTATTTGTTTTTTAATTGTAGAGAGGGATTTATGCACTGATTTTGATATGCACTGAAATCAATTTTGTTGGGAAATAATTCATCTTTAGGACTTCACGATGAATGCTGCAGAATGCCTAACACTACTGACAACACCCACTGTTTGTTCTCGTGCAGGGCTATAGAACTCATAGGTTCTGTGATAAAGTATAATAAATAAATGGGACAGACAGCACCACACAATTAATAGGAGCCTGAACAGTGCAATATCTAGATGTCGGTAGCAAGCACCACACAATTCCCAACTCCCAGAACTTGAGGATCGGGCAGACCACGCCACATTGCTGTGGCCCATGGGTAAGTGTTTTTTTCAAGGTATGGTAAGAGAGTCCTGCCCATGCAGGGAAACAATAGTGTTACAAACTGGTCACACGAGGACAACCACATACCAGATGAAGCCTCTGCCAAGAATGACACATGTTTTGCTGCCATGGTTACACACACCAGCAACTGTTCATAAACTTAGTTAAAAGCTCTAGTGCAGAAACAAAAATCTAGTTTTCCCAAAACCCCCTGGACAAACTTCTTCCTAGAAGCTCCAGATGGTGAGGATCCAGCTGGAAGCAGCATACTTTAGTGCCCCTTCTACACCAGAGAACTCTGCTGCAAGCTCTTCAGGTTAAACACATCTCCCTGCAGCTTTGTGAGGGACTGTGTCCTCCCCCTTTCTCCCTACTCAGAAGCTCTTCTCTCCACTGCTGCACCCTTAACTTCATGAATGCCACAGTCTTGCTGCCCCCTTTCCCTGACACTGTTCCCACATTGCCAACTCTCCCTATGTGGTGGTTTTCTCTCAGGTTTATGTGATTTTAGCAGGCTCTCTGATTTCATTTTGTGAAAAAGTAAGTTTCTAGCCCTTAAGGATTTTTTGGGGAGTGGGGAGCTTGAAAATGTGATCCCTAAAAGTTCCAAAACCAGAAAGTGAATAGAGAGAACCATCACACTGTTATTTTTTAAATCCGGTGGTTTTTAAACCAATTTCATTACTTTTAGAACAACAGTAATAGTTCTGATTCCTGTTATCCCTCTCGAACCTGACTGGGAGCAATCTGGTCCCTACAGTCATAACCATTGCTGAGTCCCTTCTTCCCTCTACTTCCTATTCCTCTTTGCCACAGCTCCACATATTACTCCATTTCATGTGTCTGTTCCCTTCTGCCCATCCCTTTCCTTGACTCCTCTCAAGCTCTTTTAGACCAACATCAAGCACCTCCCTCCACTTTGTCCCTTTTTCCCATCCCTGAACGGTGTAAACACCAAGGAATGAGAATTATTCAGACCAATATAATGGAGTTACAAGACAAAACTAAGAAAGGGAAATAGCTAAGTATCAGGAAAGCCTTTCTGACAATAGCATCTGTTTAACTGTGGGATGACATTTTAAAATAGCCTGCAAAAAGCACTAGTAAGTGTACTCTAGGGAATAATCATACATTGGCAGAGAAACGGTTGAATAGCTCTTTTCCCATCTCGGGCTTCTCAATTCTATTTTTAGTTTAATATCCCACAGTTTCGGTGAGAAGCCAAAACTAGCAAAGGAACTTGTTTTCATCAAGAGCAGCCTGACATTATAAAATTATAAATATGTTTGAATTTACCAAATACATTTGGCAGCAGCATAGGACCCATCCTGCACAGTGAAGTCAATTTGAATTTGGTTGTTTACTTCAATGGGAGAAGCATCAGAGTCTTAGCAGGAAGCTGTGGAATTTTTTTTTTATTCTTATGCTCAGAGGAGCATAATGTTACCAACCATGATCTGTAATAATCAAAGTTAGTATCTGAAAAATTATATCTCACCCCTTTGGTAAGTCAGGTATAGAAGGAGGATGATACATGCTTATTTTTTTAATACACAATATTCTTTTACCTCTCTATGGCCTTAAAAAGCCAGAGCTAAACAGAGGCTAACACTGTATTCCAACATACACTACTACTCAGTACAGAAGGGTGAAATAGTTAAATTACTTATACATGCTGCAGCTCCATCTACTTTAATAAGATGGCACAGGATGCATATCATTGCAAAATCAGGCCCAACTTGTTAATGCACCTCATCACTGTCAGACGTTCCTCTGTAGTGTAACCCCACTGAAGTCAACAGAATGGCACCAAGGATGAATGTGCTGGTAAGTCTGGAAAGTTGATACAAATAACTTGATCTTCCACATGTAAACTTTCTGAAGTAAAAGAAATCACTTCTATCATTCAAGATTCAGACCTGCTCCCAGTTCATTTTCAGAAAACACATTTTCATAAATGGCATCGTTGCCCTAATTTCATAAGCAGTAAAATTAAGGCTCCAGAATCCTTCTTCAAACTCATTCCCCAGAGTTAGTGCACTAGTTTGGGACTTGGGAGGATCTGGGTTCATTCCCCACCTCTGCCATAGACATCCTGTGTGACCTTGAGCAAGGTCTACGCTAGACCTTTTGCCTAGGTAATAATATCATTTAGGCTATGTCTACGCTGCTTCACTATTTTGGGATACCGGAAGTATCCTGAAATAGCTAGTCTGCGTCTTTTAAGTGCACCCGTTATTTTGAAATATAACTGGCTCACTATTCTGACGTCCTTCTAAACCTAATTCCACAAGGAGTAAGTGATGTTTTGGAATAGCAATTTATTTCAAAATAAATGCTGTGTAGACAGCGCCAAATTTTGAAATAAGCTATTTTGAAATTGACTCAAAATAAGCTACGCAATTTGCATAGCTTATTTCAAGCTATGGGTACAGTGTAGACGCACTCTTAGGGGTGTAATTGGTGTGCAATTGGGCTACGTCTAAGAGGGATGTAAATTAGACGTATCGAAAGTAGAAATGAAGCTGGGATTTAAATATTCCATGCTTCATTTGCATAATGGCAGCCACCGCTTTTTTTCGAAAGGGAGCTTTTCGAAAAAAAACCTGCAGTTTAGCAGGGGCATTTTTGACAGAAATGCCCCATTTTGAAAGATCCTGTACTCCTCATTTTTTGTTTAAGCATGCTCATATGTTTAAATACATATGTACTTGATATCAATGAGGCTATTTTACATGCTGAAAGTTAGGCATGTGCTTAAATACCTTGCTGAATCAGGGCCTAAGTGCTCAAAAGTGGCAAGACCCTTTCAAATGGAAGCAGGAACACAGCAGCTAATGGACGTGTTCAAACTATTCCTCTGGCATAGTCTCTAAGACATTTTAGCTAATGGCACATGCTGCTCCTTTTTGAGGAGTGTTCAGTCTACTTCTTGTCCTCTTGGCCTGCCCCACTAAATCCTGCCCTGACCAGAAGATGTAAAAAGCAAAGTATGCAACAACCAGACTTCCTGTTCCCCCTTCTCTCAGTGTTGGTCATGGTAAGAGACCCTAATTTACAACTAAGGAATGTCTAAACCAGGGGTGTCCAAACTTTTTTCAAAGAGGGCCAGATTTGATGAAGTGAACATGCGTGAGGGCCGACCATTTTGCCTGACATTCTTTGAACCATTAAAATTAAACGCAAATTAACTATTTTATGCAAAGTTTATTGCAAACGGCATACTTTTCATTTCGTCACATGGATGACAAATCTAAACAGGTGTTAAATCACTCTGCCTTTCATATCTGAAGGCCAGATTAAAAAAAAATCCAGGAAGCTGAAATATATGTCAGGAACATTGTAAAGTACATTACATATTATTGGTAATAAAGGTTGTCTGTCAACTTTTAAGTTCAAAAAATATGAACAGGAACATAACACCAAGTATACATGTTGTGTCCAAATATATTTATAACTGATTTAGACCAACTGACATTAACGGAGATTTTACAATGTATTCATCTCAATACATATGGATTCGTTGGGGGCTATAAAAGATAGATATTGCCAAATTACCTGTGGGGCAGTATTAAACCGGAACACAGGCCGCAATTGGCCCGCGGGCCGGACTTTGGACATGCTGGTCTAAACAATAAAATAAAGCAAGTTTAAAACCTGAGGTATTGTTTTTAAATTGCAGAAAATATTCAACATTGTACACCTTAGGCTTAGGGAATTTTTCAAAATCCCTTTATGTTCAGACTGTCCCACGCTATAGGTGGGTATGAAAGGTATTTATTCAAAAAGCTTTAATATCAAACTGTTTACAGTGCAAATGTTTTGTTTGTTAATATTTTTAATTACACTCTTTGTGACTCCTCTCTTCCTCGCCCCCTTTTCTTGCCCACCACCCCTTTAAAGATTGATCCATTTTGTGAATCTCAGTAGTAGGTGGACCCAATGGGCCAAAACTGACTTGTTCAGAAGGCACTATCAAGTTAAAAGTTAACATGAGTAACTCTACCATAGGATTATAGAGGCCTTGTTCTGATTTTGCATGTATGGATTTTCCCACTCTTTCATTCTGCCACCAGATGATCTTTGTAATATAAAGGAACCATTGATTTCAAAGTAGGAATGTTAAATATCAGTTAATTAAATAGTTGATTAACCTCATGCATTTTTATTGATTAGTCGACTATTCTATAGTCCCCGAGGATGAGACTGGCAGCCAGTGCGCTTCATCCTCACTCCTGAGGAGTCCCCTGTTACTCTGCACTTCTGCCTCTATATCAGAGGTAGCAGCATGGGGTGCCAGGCAGGAGCTGGTCCACAAGGGGAGCCAGTTTAAAAACCGGCTCCCCTCACGGACTGGCTGCCTGTCACCACACACTGCTGCATAATATGGGTGGGTGGCAGCAGCCCCTGTCTGGGGAGGGGCAGGGCTGAGCTCCCAGATCCATGCAAGCCGGAGCTGAGCCAGGCTGCCTGCCCACCTGGCTCCTAATATACTTTAAATGCAGAGCTGCAGCAGGGGTAGGTCCTGGACCTGGCGTGAGCCAGGACTGAGTCAGGCTGCTGGCCAGCCTGCTAAAAAATTTACTGGCAAAGGGCAAGGGGAGAAAATGCGTATAATCTATAGCATTAACCTACAAGCTTTTACTTATCAGTTAACCGACTACACTATTACATCTCTATTTCAAAGCATTAAAAAAAGCTCCTGTTTACAGAACTACACTTCATCCTGCGAGCAGGATTCATTTCACCAGATATCTGAGAACAGATTTCAAATAAGGACCTTTTTCTCTTAGGTAATGGGATGGTGCAAATCCTACTAATTGTAGCCTACAGACTTCATATTAAGAGTGCTCTTTGCATTACTTTCAGCAACCAGAAGCTTCCATCAGCATACATGGCACTGGAACATGATTGTCATACTATCATGTGGGTGAACTATTTTTCTGCCTCAAAACAGTCTACTCAACACTGATATTTCTACTTCTGATGCCAGGAAAGCTGCAGCTTCTATCTCTACCCCCTCTACTACACAGAATCATTGCCTAAGCTAGGTAGCACCTATAGCTCTCCAGATTCCAATGCAAGTAAAATCTATCCCAATTCCACAAAGTATGAATTGCTGCCACAAAAAATAGCAGTTTCTTTAAGATACTAGAGGATTGAAAAAATATGTGAATACTAGTTTGGAATGTCACCTTGTCTTCACTGACTTAGACACACATTTTTAAAGGGGTCTCAAACCAGTTTCCAAGTATTTCAATTTGAGAAAAGACGAGGCAATAACTAATAGAATGTGCATTTTTATTTAGAGTCACAGAACACAAAAACTGAAATAATTTCAGTTACTTTACATGTAAAAAAACTCCTTATTTATTGGCTAGAGATCATCCTTCATTAAAACAGTTGCCACTAGAAACTTTTGTTTCCTCCCATGCTGATCTCATACATGGGGAGAACTGCCCATCAAAATTATCCTCTTTTAAATCCTTCCTTAAAACCTAATGCTTGCTTCTGGTTAAACTCGCACATTTGTCTGTTTTGTCTATCCTGTCTGAGACCTAGACTGTAAGCTCTTAGAGCATGGACTATCTTCTTTCTTAATTGCCTAGCACAATGGAACCCAGATCTCAGATACTATCATGAGGGAAAAATAAAATAAAATAAAATAAAATAAAATAATACCAGGTGACTCTCTAGATCTCCATATAAATTTAAGTACATAATAGTATTCCATAGGACCTGATAAGATTTTTATATCCAGGAACACTTCATCTTTGTAGCTAGTTTCTAACAAGCCAGAGACCACCATAGCTTGTACATTTTGATCAATGAAGCCTTGTATATTTTAGAGACAAGTGATAAGAGCTGAAAGGGTTTTTTTTAAATCCAATTTACTTTTAGTTCCATATGCTGGGTTGCCCATTCTCTATTTCTCTGAGCTTGAACAATAAAAATAGATTAATCAGTATCACTTTTGCTTATAGCTTGTCTATTGTCAGTATCACTGCCAAGTTCAACTGCAATAGCACAATATAAATACTCCATTGAGACTTTAATTTGGTTTAAAAAGTGTTAATATTCAAAATAAAAATAATAGAATATTTGTCTTTACTTAAAGTGAAGACAAATATTTTTAATAAATGCTAAAATTCAGCCTTTAGTCTTAAAGCATCACAAGTCACTGCCTTGACTAGTAATAACAGCTAGGGATAAGGAAGAATCAACTCTGGCATTAGGTAGAGGAGACAGGAAGGAGGGGAATAAATAAAATACAATTATGGGCTGATTTTTGTTCTTGGGCAATCCTGCAGTCAGTTGAGAGCAGAAATAGCTCACTGTGGATTGTGTTATGGGACTGCATTTTTGCAAACATTCTCTTTAAACCTTTTATCTACCAGTACCATTCAAGCCTCTACCTTTAAGAAGTCTTTGTATGCACAGTGAAAAGGCAGGTCCCATAGCTCCTTATTAACTTGTTTATTCTTTCCAGCCCTCTGCATTAAAGATAAATCATGTTACACAATAGTAGTTATGAAAGCAGTCAAATTTATATTGTTTTGACATTCTTAAGGAGCAATATAAAGTGTTTCTCTTTAAAAAGGCATTTGAAAGGTACACTTACAATTTGATATTTGAAATATTTGTCTAGGCCTATAAAAAATAGAAATTACTGCTTTATGGTAATTCCTCAATAGAAAAAGGCAGTATAAGAAATCTGCAAATTCAGGGCTGCTTTTGCAGTGTATTCTCTTCTTTCTAAATTCCTGTTTTCAAATTTTGGTATCCACTCATTCTGTTATTAGCACCTTGTTCTGGAGAGAAAGGCAAAATTTCAGTTACACTATATGGCATTTGGTTGTATAGGAGAGGGAGAGACAATCTAGTAAACAGAGTGAAATCAGACTTTCTCCAGCTCATCAGCAGCTAAACTTGAATTTGATCAGCTCTCCTACCAACAGAAAGATCTAGTGAACAAAATTTACTGTTAAGGGTAATCTGGGTTTTCCTGTTTTCAAACTGATTATACAAAACATATTACTATTTGAAAAAATTGATCGTAGAATTTTTATATTTTAAAAAAATATATATTGTGCCCACTGTGACAGTGTTCAGAATGGCTCTGAATTTTTTGTATCCTGATTATCTTCATCAGCAAGCACTGTTTCCAGTACTAATTCATATATTCTCAATAAAAGTCACAGGAATTCTCTGAATATAAATTAGGGCAAACATGTCAAATGTGCAGCCAAAGAACAAGGTCCTTGTCCACCTCTTGCTAACATAGGGGAAGAACAAAGCTGTTCAGTTAAAGTGTTTCATTGTTGTTGAATTCACCAACAATCAAACATCAATCTTCACCTGAAAGCATAAGCTTTTGGGCTGTGTCTAGACTGGCCAGTTTTTCCAGAAAATCAGCCGCTTTTCTGGAAAAACTTGCCAGCTGTCTACAATGGCCGCTTGAATTTCCGCAAAAGCACTGACGATCTCATGTAAGATTGTCAGTGTTTTTGCGGAAATACTATGCTGCTCCCATTCAGGCAAAAGTCCTTTTGCGCAAAACTTTTGCGTAAAAGGGCCAGTGTAGACAGCTCAGCTTTGTTTTCCACAAAAAAGCCCAGATCACGAAAATGGCGATCGGGGCTTTTTTGTGGAAAAGCGTATCTAGATTGGCATGGATTCTTTTCCGCAAAAAGTGCTTTTGTTCCAAAAATGCTTTTCCATTAAAAGCATTTCCGGAAAATCATGCCAGTCTAAACATAGCCTTAGTGAATAAAGGCAAAGCAAGATGAGGAGACATTGGCATTAAGGGTACCAGAGGTATCCCAGAAAAGCTTGCTGTATCCAAGGAACGTGTCCGCTTTTCCGGAAAAAAAAATGCGGAAAAGCAGACACATTTTTCAGCATCCCTGTATAGCTTGTTCTATGAGGAAAAAGGGATGTTCTAAAAAAGTCTTTTCCCCTGACATTTGGTCCAGTGTAGACGGGCCAAATGTCGGAAAAGCCTCTTTCGTTAGAAAAGGGGAAAAAGATATGTAAATTGTGGTTCACGATTTACCTATCTTTTTCTGACTTTTCTTTGTAGTCTAGACACAGCCTCAGAGTTTATACTGGTTATGAAGATGAAGCTTTCAGATACTTTAGATTAACTTTAGCTGACATTCAAAAAACTCAAGAAAGATAGATTCATCAGAATCTTGCATTAATCCAGTAATTATGTTTATTTTCCTGTAAACAAGGCTTTGGAGATTAAGTTTCTTGGCAGAAACTACTGCTACTGGAGCCTCAATTGTCTAAGAAGGTTTAAGTAAATGGCTCTGAAAAAGCTCCAAAGAGCTATTACCGTTGCAGAATGTTTAAAAAAATCAATGAGACATCTTCATCATTCCTTAATACCAACCATATATTTTGGGCCCAAAAGCATTTTGGTGTCATAAATTACACAGAAGTGGATAACAGGTTTCAGGAATGCAGCAAATGCATTTGTTTGAATAAGGTTAATTTACTGAAAAGTGTTGAATATGAAGCAATGTTTTGCCTGTAGGATGACAAAATTATTTTTCTGGAAAGGCTGTGTCTGAATAATCAGTCAAAAAGGTTTTATGGTAACTTCTCATCAAATAAGGAACACGTGTTAGAAATATGTAATTGAACCATGCTTTTTCCTTACAGGGTTACAGACAAAAATATCGGTATACTTTGTTAATTTATTATGGAAATAATGTTAACATATTGTTATTTTTACAGCTCATACAAACTAACCATGTTACTCACATACCATGATTAGTGAAGATGTTGTTTTACCATGTAGTCACTTCATAGATGATGCTTTAGTATGAAGACTACAAAGCACTTATTTTAAGATAGATTACAACTTTAGACAGTACTTCCCTGTTCTACATAAAAGTATGATGGTGAGAACATTAGGAAGTATAGCTTACTGCAAGGGGGCTACTGCAGAAATACTGCTATTAACACATCAAATTCTTCATCTTATACAGACTGCAATCTCACTGTCAGCTGAGAATTTAGTTCAATTTGGAAAACTCAGGTAGCATAGCAAAAATGAGATCCCTAAGTATTGATTGTTTTCTCTGTATATGACTGATCTAATTTATTCAGTATACTGGACAAATTTTGTTTGCTGCTTGATGATAGACCTACACCAGAAAGCCCACAGAATGAATGGGGAGTTCAGGATGTACACTTTCTGTCCCAATTTTGATTCCCTAAAAAGTTGTACAGGGACTATATTATAGGTCCTCTCCAAAAGGAGCTGTGCAAGAATGTTTGAAGCAGGACTGGTGTCATGATCTGCATGTTTGTACAGCCATCTTATTTCCCTTGGTCCTTTGCAGTAATACACGTGCACATATTCAGAGTAGAGATGTTAAGGACTTGTCCACTGATACAGAGGCAGCAAGCAGAGGGGAAAATCATGTAGTCAATAAAATTAACAGATTAGCCTATCCCCACTGCAGCTCTGCATTTTAAATGCTGTAGGAGCTGGGCTGCCTGCATGCCTGGCTCCTGCTATATTTAAGATGCAGAGCCTCAGTGGGGTCCTTTATCAACTAATCCTGTATTTAATACAAATTGTATTGACTACACAATTAGTCAGTTACCCTCTTCTTAACATTTTTACCAGGACCCACTCCCACACTATTTAGTGGTGCTCATTTTTTTAGCTGAGCTATCCAACTGTAGGCCCCTTCATAGAGTGAGTATTGCACCTGACTGTACCAGCATAGATCAGCAGACATTACAGTGTACATTGATCAAAAACTTGGCTCAGCTTCATCACATCACCACCTGCAGCTGACTGCAATTATGCTATGCAATTGAAGAGACACAATACCTTTTAATAATAAACAGCAAAGCTTTAGCATTTAAAATATTGTTGATGATCCCAAATCATTAAGACACCTTTGTGTAGATTTAAATGTGACAAATATATGTCTATTTAAAGGAAACTATTTGAAAACTGGTTCATCCTCTCGTTATCTACTCTCAATTCTGTGTTTGAAGTTCATATATTCATACATTTTAAGGCAGGAAGTGACCATTATGATAGTCTGAGTGTCCTGCAAAACACAGGCTACAGAACTTCTGCATCAAGTCCATAATTTCTGGTTGTGCCATATTTCCTTTAGAACGAGATCTTATCTTGATTTAAAGACTTCAAGTGATGGCAAGGCCACCAAACCTAAATTATCCTATGATTAATCACTCACTGTTAAAAAATGTGCCTTACTTTTGTCTAAACTTTGACTAGCTTCATCTTCCACACAGTGGGTCTCATTTTGCCTTTGTTAGAGTAAATTTAGTACCTATCTCCAACGATTAGTGAGATAACATTTTCAGAGGAACTAACTGCCCCATTCTTTTGAATATTATTAAAGAGGGACAGTTGCCAGCACTGGGAGAACTGGGAATTTATTTTTTTATTGTGTACATAAAAATGTTTTTATTATTTTCCATCAATATTCTATCCAAGAAGAACCCATGTTATATAGAGAGAGTCAAATGTTAGCTATAGTCTTCCGTTCATGTTGGCAAATTTATGATTATGTTTCTGTTCCCACTTTTGTTATCATGGCTTCTGTTGCCCTATATATTCGGTAAAAGATATATTGTCCCAAAATTATTTTTAGTGGGAGTTTATTTTGAACTTCCCTCAAATGTTTACTATATTGAAAAATGTATTTATTTTTAAATACTCTGTTTAGTTTTCATGTTCAGATGTCTTGCAGTAAGCTTCTACCTTTTATTCAACATATACAAACATTTTTACTATTGTATCCCAATGTTTTGAAGCATTTTGTATTTACATATATTCTTTTAAAAAGCAGAAGTGTACAAATATTATTTGTACATGTGTCTTCTTTGAGAGACAAATATTAAGGCCCCAATTCTGCAATTGATTGCACATGGACAGACTTCTGCACCTATGCAAAGTTCCACTAAACAACAAGGCTACGTCTAGACTGGCATGATTTTCCAGAAATGCTTTTAACGGAAAAGAGCGGAAAATCCACGTTGACTGTGTCTCCTCTGATTGTTTTCTAGAGGATTACAAATTGATTATTTGCTCCATTATCTTTTTAGGTATCAAAGTTAAGATGATTGGTCTGTAATTCCCTGGGTTATCCTTATTTTCCTTTTTATAAGATAGGTACTAAATCTGTCCTTCTCCAGTCCTCTGGAATGTCTTCTATTCACCACTAGGGCTACGTCTACACTGCACCTCTCTTGCGCAAAAGCCTATGCAAATGAAGTGCAGATTAGCATATTGCTGTGCTTCATTTGCATAATTAATTAGGGGCCATTTTTGTGCAAGAGGCTTTTAAAAAACGAGGAAGAATGGCTCTTGCACAAGAGGGGGGTTTTGCGCAAAAAGGAGCTGTCTGCATAGCTTGTTTTTGCGCAAAAATGGCCCCTAATTAATTATGCAAATGAAGCACAGCAATATGCTAACCTGCACTTCATTTGAATAGTCTTTTGCACAAGAGAGATGCAGTGTAGATGTAGCCTAGTTCTTAAAGATAATCAGTAATAACTCAAAGACCACTTCAGCCATTTCCATAAGTATTCTAGGGTATATAGCCAAAGAGCCTCCTGTCTTGAAAACATTAACTTGTCTAAGTAATTTTTAACTTGTTCTTTTCCTATTTTAGACTTTCATCCTACCCCATTTACACTGATGTTCATTATGTGAATCATCCAGTCATTGCTAACTTTTCTGGTGAATATGTAAAACGAAAAAGTAACTTAATACTTTGGCCATTGGTGCATTTTCTGAGATTGTCTTTTCCACCTCAATGAGTAATAGGCCTATCTTGCCCTAAGTCTCCTTCTTGATTTACATACTTATACTTATAATATAATCTATATGCAATAGATTGGCAATGTTTGCCTAAAGTACTCCACCCTATTAAGAGTATATTGATTCTGATTTTAAAAGATTAAGAAAGTTTTGCTGACTCACCAAAATGTCTATTACACTACTCAGACACTAGATAGAAACAACTTTGAGAACCTAAGGTGTGGACTGTTCAGTCTTTTAGTTACCTTAGGACCAGACAACCAAGAGTGAAGGCTTGAGCGCCACATTATGTTACATTAGCGGCAATTTCTTTGTTAAAATCTTGTTAAGCGGGTGAGGTTTAAACCACAGTAGTATGGAAAAAGTATTTGTTCACAATATACAAACAAAATAGTTTATAGACTGGCTGTCTTAAGTATAGAAAAAATATCAAGACTAATACAAAGGGGAGAGAGACTAATAATTAGAGGGGGAGAGTTAAACAAAAAATATTCATGTGGACTAGACTAGATCATCTTGCTACCTGCAGTTTCTGTCTTACTTTTTATTACCATGAGAAGTGACAAAGGACAAGGTCTTACTCTCACTGATGGATAAGGCATTGTTTAGTTTGGCTTTATTTGATACCTTCACTTAGGCACCAAATGGTGTCCAACTAGGAATGTTAAATTGCGGTAATCGAGCTATGCAAAGCCGCAGTGCGGGTAGCTCTAGGAGCCACCTGCAATGCAGCTCTGAATTTTAAATGTAGTAAGAGCCAATGCAACTTTTACTACATTTAAAATGCACAAGTGCAGTGTCCGCACGAGGCAGGACTGCTCGGTTCCAGCTCGCACTGAGTTCAGCAGCCCTGTCCACCACGAAAAAGGGTTACTGCCGGAGCAGCCTCTGTTCACGGCGGCCAACAGCTGCTTGGTGACAGCAAGCCCGTCTGCGGGGCAGCGGGTCCAGCTCCCCACTGGGACCCCTGTGGATAGTTTAAAATGCACAAGTGCAGTGTCCGCACGAGGCAGGACTGCTCGGTTCCAGCTCGCACTGAGTTCAGCAGCCCTGTCCACCACGAAAAAGGGTTACTGCCGGAGCAGCCTCTGTTCACGGCGGCCAACAGCTGCTTGGTGACAGCAAGCCCGTCTGCGGGGCAGCGGGTCCAGCTCCCCACTGGGACCCCTGTGGATAGGGGCTGCTTCACAACAGCCCGCCATATCCTGCAGCACCCCCGAGCCCGTGCT